CTGAACATACATTCTCGCTCGCACGAGCTTACGACAGCTTGCCATATTCAAATCAACCTCATGTTGGGCTTCTTCGCGTCCATTTCCTAGATTCCTTCTTGTTCGAAATTATTTTTTCGTTATTTTCACGGCTTTTGCTGGCTGCAAACGCTCAGACACGTTCGCCTATCTCATATCTCATTCCAAATGCCAAACTTTCCGATCATCCTCTCGTCTATGCACCTCTTACCTAGCTTTGCGTTAAAGTCACCCATTACGAGGACACTGCCGTTTAAGGACGAAAATAAGCAAGAAGTTACCAGGGAGAGGGGGAGACTTCAAAAGACCCAAGATAGAGATGTAGAGAGAGAGAAAGAGGAGGCCGTGTTATGCATGTTGAACTTATTTCACACCGTACGAAGCCAACCGTGCTCATCGGAGGCACGAGGGGCGGCGGGGGGGTCAACAAACTAAACACACAAAGCGGTTCTAAAGAAATGAGTTATCAATCGAGATGATTTAAAAGTGCATAGCTCCTTGCCGCTTCCCATATCTGAAGGAAGAGCGCCATTCCGGTACGGCCGCAGAATCGCATCTTGAAAGCCCTGCGCGATGCCAACAGGCGGGGCCGAGAGATTTTCATCGGGGACGCAAGTCTCCAATGACTGCAAGTTCCTGACCCTCCAACGGCAGGGCAGGGAATCCCAGAGCCTGCGTGCACAGTGCGGACAACGCCCCCCCCACCCCCAATGCGGTGGTCATACCAGGTTGGGAGCCCGGGAGCTCCCAACCTGGGATGACGTCGAGGAGGACAACGGTCGGTGGATCTCGGGACGAGTGGCTGTGCAACAGTCCTCGCACATTTTTGGTCGGCATCAACGATCGTCGTGGACTGCAGTCGGTGTAATGCAGGGTGTGCTCCTCAAATGTTGTGGGACTATCGTTTTTAATGGGAAAAGGGATAATAATAATAACACAATAAACAAATGTAATGTTAACACATTCAAAAAGTCAAAGAGTCTCCCACTTATTCTTAGTTCTTTCGGTAAAGTCACGTTGAAGGGAAACAACAAAATAATAAAATATATAACAAAATATATAAAACATATATTTTATTATTTTGTTGTTTCCCTTCAACGTGACTTTACCGAAAGAACTAAGAATATGAATTACTGCAGTCACGAAAGCTTTAAATCAAGTCTCCCACTTGTTCGCCATCGTCGTCAACACGTGGCCTGGAATCTTCTCCAGGTGGTCTCCAGAGCCCCGAGGCAGCAGCACTTCTTGTGGTGTTGTTGCAAATTCTCGGAAGTGTTAACATTTTTTTGAAGCACCCTGTACATTTAAATTCTGTGGGTTGTTTAGAGCAGCGCCCGAGTGCGAGCTGGGCAACTCTATCCCGTGAACTCTTAAAACCGCCACCCACCCACCCCACCCCCCCCCCCAAAAAAAAGTCACACGTCTTGATTTGTGATGAACCAAAAAAAAAATCGTCCACTCCTCCATAATTACTGTCAACTCTCTCACTGTGATGGAGAAGAAGATTACCACTGTTGAATAAGTGCGGAGATCTCCCCTTTCCTTCACGCCTCACCGACGACAAACCGAGAACCGTGCACAAATTCGTTTCCTATCAATTCTGTCTCGAGTTTGGCAAGGCGCGCGATGCTGCCGATAAAGAGTCCGCACGTGGAATGCCTTCGTGGAAATTCACGCGCTTCGCAAAGCAGCAAAAGCCGTCGATAAAAAGTTCGTCAAACAATCGAATGGTTTCACCGTTTTTAAGGGACACAACTGAAAACAAGGCGGGATTTGGTCTCTACCGACTGTCTTGCTGTTGTTTACTGCCTTGCGATGGAACGAGTTCATGTGCGGGCGCTGGGTGGATTGCTACAATGTAGCACTGTGGGACATGCAGATGTCTATGGGAGGGCGTTCATCCAGCAGTGGTTTGAACACAATTTATGATGACAATGTTAGTTATTATTCTTTAAAGTCATTATTAGTTTTTGACCACCAGGTAAGGCCCACCGAGGTATTTAGCTCCAGAAGCAACCTGGCAACAAATGAAAGTCCAATGACGTGGGTTCATCATTGTGTGGAAATGCATAGGACCAAAAATACTCCAAATGACCCTATAAAAAGGGAAAAAAATAATTTGAATACAAATTGCAATACATTTTTTAAAGCATGTTGGTTTAACAAACTTAACTTAAAAATTTTCAAGAAATTATTCAACCCAAAAGTGAAACATTACCATTTTTCCAGGTTATTATCCACGTCCCTTGTTGTTCAATTAAAAAAATAACGAAATGCATACATGCCGTGGTTCAGCACACGCGATCCAAGAGTTACCCGCTCCCCCCCAAAGTACAAAAAATACACACACATCGTCGAGTAAACTCACAGTTGGGAGTGATTATTTCAATTTGGATAAAAAAAGTTAATGAGATCCACACTACTTTAAGAAGGGGAAAAAAAACTGCAACCGAAAATGCCTTCGTAACCCCACGCCTTTTCTCGCGAAATGTATTGTACAACTGTACACATCGGCATTTCATTTTAAAATAGCAATTACGCATTACACCGCTGTATTTAAAGATTGCTCAAGGCTATGTTTACCATGAGTCAGAGGTTCCGTGTTGAAGCCGATGCGTCGTTATACAATCATGCCATGTACCTGCAGTCTGTAAAGGCGCAGCCCCTGAAATGGCTTCCTCCCGCCACTGTTGTTTGGCGGCCCTCTAGTGGCACCAGGGGGTCACGTGACTCAATGACACACAGACGCACACAAATTTGCAATCGATACTGACGTGCACGATTTGGTAAGAGTGAGCACGAGAATGGCTTTGACTCAACGAATCTGTGCATTATCACATACCCCAGTTATTATTACACGTAGGTACAGAATGCGTGGATGAATTTGAAATGACCGAGACGGCGCTGTTGCACCACACGGCAGAGGCATTGGTAAACGTACAATGCATTTGTCCTGCAAGCTGTGCTTTTCAAATGGCATGTCATTACACAGGACGTGGGGGATGTCAGCTGCTCTTAGGGTATAATTTTACATGAATTGAATCCGCGGGATTCACACTGTTATTTTCTTTATATCGAATGCACCCTCAAATATTTTCGCATGCACCAAAGCCCCACTGTGTCGTCTAAATTGAAGACTTTTGCAACGAGAAATAAAAACGCACACGTTTGCAAACATAACCCTTGCATACGCAGCCTACACCTCATGAGAGTCGAGTAACGTGCAGGTGTAAGTTTGGGTGGATCTCACTTCAAATGCATTACGTGAAGATTTATTCACATGCAGGGCAGTTTCATCTTTTATTTAAAAAACATATTTGATGCTTAGCACAAACCCACAGGTATTATAACTCGTATGCCGATGTCTAATGGCAGCTCATGGAAGCCAAGTAGGGTTCACCCTGGTTTGTACAGGTTTACGATGGTACAATTTACGATGATCCACGTTGACGACGCATCTTCCGACACGATCGCGAACACATTTGGACCAAGTCCGTCTAACCAAAAAAAAACCCCAAAAAACCTCTTATGGATAATATTGGTCGCAAAAGCCTACGTGTTAAGCAGGAACATCACTTGCCAATGTGTTATTGTCATTTTATCGGCCGTATCCAACAGGGGTTTAAGAGCTAAACACCCACAAAATACGCTCGAGAATAACAAAAGCTCCATGCCAAGTCACTTCGGAAACCAATCGTACTTGGTCCAAATGTGTTCGCGGTCGTGTCGGAAGATGTGTCGTAAATCGATCCAAGGTGTGGCGTTATATGAAAGTCGTAAATGTGGATCATCGTAAATTGTACCGTCGTAAACTTGTACAAACCAGGGTTAGATGGCGGAAATATTTACGCGATCTAACCCCAAAAAAAAAACTATTATTGATGACGTTCCTGCTGTTTCCACTGCCTATGGGAAAAATAGGGGTCCGATTTACGACGATCCCACGGACGAGGTTACCGGGAACGCACTGTGACGGGAGAGTGGGGAACCGCCTGCAGTTTCTTGGATGGGTGAACATCAAGTATGGCCACGTTGTTGTGGGCAAGAGACTGGGGAGCTGTGGCCAGGAGATGGCAGTGGTGAGTGTTACTCCTCTCTTATGCGGGGGGGGGGGGGGGGTGCAAAAACACCCATCAATGACATTGGCCAAACATCCCAATAATGGAAGGCACTCCTGAACCCAACCGTTTTGAGATATAGTTGGGCTGTCCTGGAAAAATGATTGCTGTCATAATTATTGTTTTACAAAGTAAGGAACCACTGTGATTTGTTACACATGTATGACGGGAGACCAGGAAACCATAGGTAACTTTGTGACGATATTAAGTTTACAATGTAGCTGTCAATAACTTTATTGGATTTTGGCTATACCTCTGACAAATAACAGCACATTGCCTTTCACCCATCGCAGCAGAAGGCAACCTTGGGTCATTCCTCACAGAACTCATTGGGTAGCTGTGTACACCAAACAATGAGGGCACACACTGATATCTTTACCAAGTGAAAAATAACTATATCAGACTACTTGGACGAGTTCTGTAAGTGAGTATCTAATTTAAAAAAAAAACAGTGTACACAAAAGTGGCATAGCCAGAAAACACACCCAAATGCCGCCGAGCAATGATTGTGTACACTACACCTTACCAGGTACTCATGATCATGCTGAGCCATTCAGGTAGGTTAAGTTATCAAATGGCAGGGTATCAAAATCTGTGTCATTGGGATCGTAAGCTCATTAAAAAAAAACTTCCAGTGCAGCCATACAAAACACATAAACACGAAAGCACAAAGCCATCCGTATATACATTGTAAGAGCGCCGAGAGCATTTGCCGATACTTTTAATGTAAAAAATGGGGTGTAGCCACAGAATGTCAATCACGTCCCGCGCGCTCTCCCGCCCCCTGCACAGCCCGGGAGGAGAGAAGGGCGTGGACTGCCCACCCTCAATTTATCGCACACTCCAACGCCCCCGCAGCCACAAGCCACCCTTCGCCGTCGCAGGCACGAGCGCTTCAGCGCGCGCGCACACACACACACACACCGCCACCACGCTGCTGCCTGCTACCATCACAGTCCACTACTTTCCCGTTCGCCCGCCCGCCCGCCCGCCCACGCATCCGTCCGTCCATCCGCCCGCCCGCCCGCCGCGGGAGTTGGAGGAGAATCTTCAAGCCAAACAACGTGACAGAGGTCCGAGCCGAACGAGCTGAACGGCCCAGCGGGGGCGGACGCCTGCATCTCATGAGCCAGCGATGAACGCCCGATTGCGGTAGCGGACGTCCGACGTTTCGAGACGACGCGGCGACCACCCCCCCCCCCCCCCCGCCCGCCCCCCCGCCCCCCCGCCGCGAGCCTTGCCGGCGGGAAACCCACGACTCTTGGCTTCTGCAGGAAAACTAAAAACCCAGGCGCGGGCCGATGTGTGCGCGCGAAGTCGGACGGGGCCGATGAACGCCCTGCGAAAGTGCGCTGCGCTGGACCGTCCGAGACGAGCCATGCTGGAGTAAGAGAGGCGCGCGCTGGCCGGCACCGGCCTGCACCCCGCGCCCCCACCCCGTGTAAAGTGGTAAGTGCCTCGTTTGAACTGTCAACACTTACTCATCTGGCCAGTGGCAGCCAGAATGACCCCCGCCCCCTGCCCCCGATAGAAACCCGTGGCAGCTTCGCTTGCCATTAAGCGACACCCGGGCACTTTGATGCCGTGCGATGGGCAGTTTGCGCTCAAGTTTACAATTAAGTGCAGCTCGCGGTTTAGTGTTGTTGAGGTCTTCCTTGTGTTGATGAAGCTGTTCTGCTATTTGTTTAAAAAAAAAAAAATACCTTCAGCTTCATGGGGATATCCGACGATGCCGTCGCTCGGTCGCAAAGAGGAGCATGCAGGGAATTCAAAATCTCGCTAAACCTGCTCTCGTAAGCATATTCAAATAGTCCAACAAAAACAAGTAGCAACCTCGAAAAGCCACCTATGTCATGGCGCACACCGTACAGTGACGCGTCCGAACTCAGAAGCGGTCCCGTTTTTTTCCGCCGGTCGAACTGCGACGCCTTCAAAATGTTTTTTCACAAGGCCGCGTGCCGAACGCGACGCTTCGTTACGCGAGCGGAAAGCGAGCAGCAGCGGCGGCGGCGAGGGAGCCGCACTTGAGCGTCGAGTGTGCCCAAGGCCCCAAACAAGAACGCGAGCAAATAAAAATAACAAACCTCGTCTCTCGACCCGGGAGTGCGCGTTCCTTCAAATCGCAAAACCTCTCATCCCCTAGAGTTAGTAATGACTTGGTTGTATAGTGAAATAACATGTCTTTATTTTACTTTAAAGCCAAGGTACAACTCACGCAGACAAATCAGACACGCTGAATGTCGGTAAAAGAAATAACCTACTTTTTGACATTGCATGAATTTAAATGATTTTGGTAGAAAATAAAATATCCCAAGTGCTGAGATCACTTGACTCACGATCAGACGGACGCGAGTTGAACTGATGGTTGCGTTGTTCATTCAACCAATAACCCTCATAAATAATAATAGGGTTTTTCCCCTTTTTTCTGGCAACAAAACCGAAACCTTTTTACAAGGATTCATGTCTGCATTAACCACAATACCTGCAGTCAAAATGCAAACAAAAAAACATACTATGATAATATATGCATTGTCCTTGAAACTGATTGGTCCACACCAAGGGACGGCTTTCTTTTGAGCCTCGACCCAATTGGTGCTCAACAAGATGGCAAAGGAGGTCTAATGATGAAATCCTTGTAAGGTTGTTAAAATGTATGCCGCAATGTAGAAAGTCAATGGTGGTTTATCACATGCCGTGGGCGGGAGGTGGCCGAGGAATATGAGCACAGCTTCATTGCTCATTCAAAGTGGGGAGAGACTTTGACTTGAGTTGACTTCAAATAAATACATATGGCAGGCATAATTACATTGAAAGTGCACATCGAGAAACAAACTGGTGTAAATGTATTACGACTTCCGCTCACAAAAAACACTATTCAAACGGCGAGGTATATATATAAATAAGAAGGAATCAGACACCCTCCAATACAAATCCTGCATCCTAAACTAAGCTGGAATAACCCTGAAATCCTCAACTCATGGTCCTCAATGGGGTTCTGTCCCCCCCCCCCCACCCCCCACGGGTTCCTCATCCCGTCCATCGTTCTCAATGCCCGGTTTCACTTCTTTACTCCCACGCTTTGGTCTAAATAAATGCGTGGTCCTATTTCAGGCGGCCGCAAGCCGTGGCACTAAGCCTGTGGGGTCCTGCTGGTCAGGGGAGGAGATGGCAACGCAAGAGATATCGGGGGACACTTTGGGAGTGTACAGAGATAAATAATACATTCAAAGAGTTGTAAATGGTCTCAATCACACACACGTGTGTGTGTGTATGTATGTAGGTCGACTCGGCCTCAAATGAGTACCTGGTGCAGTGTGTAAAACATCGCCGCTGGGGAGACAAAGGCGGTTGGGCGTGGTGTTGGCCATCCACCCCCTCGTGTGCCGTACCGGCCTTCATAAGTGCTCGCTAACAGCACTTGCCCCGACAGGCTGTTTAGGGTTTACAGGGGATCTTTGTCTTATATGTAAACACACATAAAGATCCACCCTACATCCATAGACTGTTGGGGAAAATGTTGTGAGTGAATACTTACGAAGGCAGGCACAGCACACAAGGAAGTGGTGTGGACAGTACCCCACAGCGGGAAGCCTTTGTCTCCCCAGTGCTGATAGTTACACACCGCAACCAAGGCACTTATTAAGGCGGAGTTGACTTCGAGGAGTGCCAGCACCGGCTCAGATATTCGCCACTCATTAACCGTATTCGGGAATCAAACTTGGCCCGCCGGATTCACGGTACAGCATCATAATAACCACAACGCGACCACTCCACATGGGCGCACACACACACACGTGAGCACACACACACGTGAGCACACACCTGCAGGCAGCCTTTGATACGGAACTGCTTTTGGATGGAATTGAATAACAGGCGAAGGTTTTATCAGCGTTTGGCAGCGAGCCTCCCTGGAGCCAGCGGGTCTCCGAAGGGGTCAACGCCAGCCAAGGCGAAGGCATTAGCAGTTAATGAAGCACACGACGGTCACGCGGCAAAGGCGAACCCCGCGAGCGGATAAAGCGCGCCGCTGCCACCGCATTTCCGCGGCGGAACAGAGGGCAGGGGAATCATTCGCAGCACACACGTGCGGATTTAGCGCCGAGCGACAATTACAAAACGTCCGAGCCAGACACGGCCGCCGCCTTAATTCATTTAAATGATAATGCGCGGCTGTGCGATGACTGACGCGCTGCACCTGCGCAGTAATTGCCTCCTGCTTGGGCGCGTTGCGTGCTCTCTGCATTACGGCGGCGTTGCAAAACTACTGCACTACCGCCACACGACGAATTCACAAAGTGAGCCCCCCCCCCCCCCCGCGCTGATGGAATTACAGCAAAAATAACCTAGGAACTCATATGGCCATGACACGGTAAGCGTAACCTTTTATTTTCGGTAGAATTGTACCCTCCTGAATTTCGCACAAAATCTGCAGCCGGCGGTGCTCATGCGGGGGGGGGGGGGGGGGATTTAAATTGACGGAATCAACACTGCATGCTTTGCATGTCAGGATGACAAGTAAACCGTGTACCGGTTTTCCCCTTGCTAGGACTCATCAGAACGGTACAGGCGTGCGCGTCCACTGCCCCCGTGCGTGCACGGGCAGCAACAGGAATCACGACGAAAAACCCAAACCGGCAAACAATGAAAGAAACGAATCGTGTGAAGTCTTGCGTCTATTTGTACTCACTTCTTCCTTTGTGGTTATGATTCAGCATCCACAGATAGCTTATATTTGGGAAGCAGCGTGTGAACATGTATTTATTTGGCCATCTGTACCCGTATGAGAACGTGTCGATACGCGGTGTATTCAGCACTCCTGGACATGCCTTTACGACTGCTTACAACCCCGCATGTCTCTGCTCTATCTTTGTGTTGCCACGAATGAGAAATTGTACCGTGAGCCCGTGCACGAGTCTATCGAGTCACACGTCGGTAAACTTACATACCCCTCTGCCATCTGCAGGAAGCAAGTGGGAAGCATGCCGTAGTAACGGCTGACTTTACCTACTGAGATACGGATTCGACAGTAACAAGAAGCACACGATGGAAGTGCCATTAGCAAAACATCCCAATGCTGAAAAATCTACCTGCTAATTACTTGATTGGGATTGCATGCAGCAGCATCACCCCTCTACTGCAAAAAAACACTTGCTGCGGCCTTTATGGAAGAGTCTAAAAAAACTCGGCGAACCTTGCCCGGGCAAAACAAGCGTAATTATTATTCGAATAATGATGACGATAAACAGCTGTGATAATTACAACTATTCAATGGGTAGGTGATAATTACAACTGTTCAATGGGTAGGTGTTCACCGCGAAGCCTCTTCCCACACAGAAGACGGCCTAAATCCAACAGCTGCTGCCCAAGTGAATTCCCGCAAGCGCAACGTGAACCTACTGAGAATTTCCCACGGCGAAACGAAAACATACTAAATGTAGAACTGCCACGAGCAACGAAGGATGTAGAGATGTCGAGGCAAGCCTCACAAAGCAGTTGTAGTGCCTCTTAAATGAGCTCTCGCCCAATTAAATAATGTACACTGAACCTCATCGCATCATTAAACTAGTGTGCAAAAATATTTCTTCGGGAATGGATTTTTTTTGTTTTAGAAAATCGGCGACGCTTCCGACGGATAATTTAATCTTGCCCAAAAATTCATCTTGGCAATGTGCAAGTAGATTTGTCCACAAAGTAACGGCTTGTGTGTTTGTACTGCGTCACACAAATCTCCCCGTGCTCTCTGCGGGCCGAAAGCAACGTTACGCTGTGCCGAGTCTCAATCGTACCGCACACATGCAACCCGACTTCGTGAATAAAATCTCACTTGCGAATTTAAGACGGTGGAAAATAACCGCCAATATAATTTAAAACGCACGTCTTTTTAATAAAGACATGCAAATACATAAATATATACGTGGCTGAGTTTGGTGTACATTATTAGAAGTAAAACACAAATATATTACAGGTACAGGAATGCAAATATCAATAAATTTTACAAAATGTAATTTTCTTATCACTGTGGCCTTATATACAATGTTGAATTAAATATCCAACAAACGCAATTTACGTGAAGACTATGTTGGAATCCAGCTGACAAGCCAATTAAGTGAGGAGATGGTTGAATCTCAAAAACTACGTAAATAATTCAACCTCAAGGTAACTTATTAATAGGTAAGTACATCAAGCAGCAGGTTTCACTATGGACCATTCAAAGCTGCTCAATTATAAGATACAGCATATTACATTAGTGAACGATGGGGGGTTTACTGCACAGCTTTCAATTGCGCCCACCTTTCCTTCAATGAGCAAGGTATATTTACCATTGTCGTTTACAGATGTTTGTGAAGTTCCGTTGGATTTCAATAATAAAGAGGTTTTCAAGTTTGCAGAATGTGTGAATGTCTGTGTGTGGAGACTTGTAGGGAGCAGTGCTGTAGCGCTTAGTGAGG